AGAACTAAAAATTCGAAGTAATTACAGTCACCAAGTTGAGCTGTATGAAATCCTTCCGTAGCACATTCCGATAATTGATATCCGAATGCTCCATCGTCACTGCCCTCAAAGCACACAACCGACCCCTAAACACGATTATAAAATGTACAAATAGACAACTTATTAAATGGATATATCTCAAATGACTGCCCAATTCGTAAAATTTCATTCCAAAATGGGTAATATGCTAAATGTGATTAGTTGCATTTACTTGTATTCAAAATGTTCATTTTCAGATCAAATTGATTTCCTTATTTCATACAATTCCACACTAATTTCGTATCATCAGATTTTGTAGGTACTATTATCCCCCTCTTCCGCTTTATCCGACACCACTCATCACTGCAACTGATAATCCTGAATGAGATTCTTACATGATTCAGTGTGTTCTATATGTGTCTTGATATGCTTTATAAACCTCAGCAGAGGAAGGCTGCAGTGTACAGAGCGACGGGTGATCGAACTGAGTCAACAGCAAACGAATGAGATAATTTTTAAATTCTGTTTGAACGGAATGAGTAAGATTCGAATGATTCGTGGAGAATGAGAGCGACGACAGCAGTCCTTCGAACGAGTGAGACTCTCTGGAGAGCATGTGAAATCGGAAGACAGTTGACCATTCTAANCCTGAATGAGATTCTTACATGATTCAGTGTGTTCTATATGTGTCTTGATATGCTTTATGAACCTCAGCAGAGAAAGGCTGCAGTGAACAGAACGACGGGTGATCGAACTGAGTCAACAGCAAACGAATGAGATAATTTTCAAATTCTGTTTGGACGAAATCAGTAAGATTTGAATGATCCTTAAAGAATGAAAGCGATGACAGCAGTGCTTCGAACGAGTGAGACTCTCTGGAGAGCATGTGGAATCGGAAGACAGTTGACCATTCTAAATATTCAGGATTTTGGTGAAGTGCTTTATTATTTGTTTGCTAAAGTCTCATTATTTTGGCGAATGTCACTGAATATGCAAATTGATCATTTAGGGATTATCTTTTGAATTTGTACCTCTCTGTTATCACCAATTCAATCGATCAGCCGTAGTTCATCTTAAAATCTGAAATTTCCTCATTGTCAGACACAATGCATTTGGTCATACGTTTGTAATTTGTTCTCTTATTGATACCACTATCATTCGATGAGGCAAAAATTCACAGTTCGATAGGAGTTCGGTAAATCGACGCTCAGTAAATCATCTTTTGTCCGGTGATTGCATAGTTCTGCGATGGGGAATCACCATTGCTCGAAATATGCACAAAATGATTTCCTTTCCAAATGGCTATCGTGCTTAATTGTTGTAAATACGTGAGAATAGAGTGTAATCAGTAGCGAAACAACGACGAGTTCTAGAAGTTAACTTTATACAAACTTAAATACAAATCGCATCAGCGAATCGACACAGCATAGTAAAGATATTGTGTTGTTTGTATGAATGAATAATCGTGGATCATTCGGATCATTTAAAGCAAGCATGCATCAAGCGCATTTGTCATAATCATCGATGCACGTATCATCGTCACGTCAACATAGCAGCATATCATATCATGACCATTATCACTATGATACACACAACACATATAACAACAACAACACATCTGCACACGCAACAACAATAACAAATACGCCAACTAAATTAGATTAACTTATTACTGTTTACTAGTATCGTTATTAGTATTTGTATTAATATTGCACTNCAGTTTATTTGAAGATTTGAAAAGTCTCAATCAACTTCGGGAAAGCCTTCAGAAAATGCTTTATGAGACGTTTTCGCTTCAACTTGCTTGGAATCATTTACCTCATCTCTTCCAGTGCAGATGAGTATATTGAAAAGAAAAGAATGTTTAGGATCATATTTGGATCATATTTGACCTTATTAAACCCTATTTGACCCTGAAGTGACCCTATTAAATTCATCATGGTTGTTCTAAAAAAAGAATGATAAGAGAAAAAGATGAAAATATGTGAGAAAAAATATTCATTGACCGATGATGAAGTTGAAAAGAAAATCGGATAACTGGGATTGAATAATCCGAGTTATCCGATTTTTTGAGAAAAGAATTAGACTGAGAANTTTCTCTTGTTATCACTACCACGACTGTTCTTGTTTCGAAGGAGTCCCAGCAACTGAAATTCAATTGATAATGCTTTTAATTGTTAGCAAATTATTTGAACATTTGAATAGTCTCAATCAACTTCGGGAAAGCCTTCAGAACGTGCTTTATGAGACGTTTTCGCTTCAACTTGTTTGGAATCATTTACTTCATCTCTTCCAGTGCAGATGAGTATATTGAAAAGAAAAGAATATTTAGGATCATATTTGGATCATATCTGACCTTATTAAACCCTATTTGACCCTGAAGTGACCCTATTAAATTCATCATGGTTGTTTAAAAAAAGAATGATAAGAGAAAAAGACGGAAATATGTGAGAAAAAATACTCATTGACCGATGATGAAGTTGAAAAGAAAATCTGATAACTGGGATTGAATAATCCCAGTTATCCGATTTTTTGAGAAAAGAATTAGACTGAGAAAAGAATTCAGACGGATGGAAATTAGCGATAAATTGCTCACTTCGTCACTGTTCGCATAATGAGCGTTAGGTGGGGAGACGTCCTTCTCGCAAATATACGTGGCTTGTTTTTTGCAGCAACTCTGGAACCATTCACCAGTGGTCGTGTTCAATTTCGTACACGGTTTCGTTTTCACTTTATCGGGTCGTTTGTCTGAAATTGCAGCAAATTTTGCAGAAATTTGAGAAATACATCGACGAATTTGATGAATCCATCTGAAATCTCGCTGAATCCATCTGAAATCTCCGCTGAGAATATGCCGAATCTCATGTTCAATGTAAAGCCAACTCAATTGCCGAGTGTTTCTTCAGAAAGTTCCATTCATCTCAGTTTTAAAATTCGATAGTTATTCTTCGCTGGGAATCGCACTCAAACGGGAACTAAAGTTGCGATTACNTCTGAAATCTCGCTGAATCCATCTGAAATCTCCGCTGAGAATATGCCGAATCTCATGTTCAATGTAAAGCTAACTCAACTGTCGGGTGTTTTTTCAGAAAGTTCTATTCATCTTAGTTTTAAAATTCGATAGTTATTCTTCGCTGGGAATCGCACTCAAACGGGAACTAAAGTTGCGATTACGCTTTCAGGATAGAATGTATCCGGCCAGCATCGCTGTCATACCGCATAAGCTTGTCGTTTGGAATTATGCGACGATTTTTTGACCAATTTTTGATGGTGATGGTGTTTCCGGTGGTTTCTGGTCGTTCGATTCTGTTAATCGCATCTCATCTTACTTTCAGTCCTTGAACTCTCGCAATAACGAGTGCTCATCGCAGAGTCTTACACCAAGGTCGCGTAATTATCACCCAATTTTCAGATGATCACTAAATCATCTTGAATTGAAATGATGGAGCTAATCATCTTCTTCGGTAAAAATGATGATACTTTTGATGGAGTTATCTCTTTGCTCTCACACACTCTCTCATCTATTAGTGCTGGCTTTTTTTTTTCGGATTATTTTCGAAGAATAAATCCTTGTAATGTTCTTGAAGCGTACACAAACAGCGAAGTCAAAAGTTTGATGAACTTGCTGTTTCAGTNAACAACAACACATCTGCACACGCAACAACAATAACAAATACGCCAACTAAATTAGATTAACTTATTACTGTTTACTAGTATCGTTATTAGTATTTGTATTAATATTGCACTACAACGTTTCACAATAAAAATAATAATACAAGTATTGATAATAACAATAATTTCTAGTGCTCAGACAATCTTATCATTATCATCGTGAGTATTATTATTATTATCATATCAGTGGACTGATTAATTAGGGATTGATTGGATTGTTTCCGTTTGAATTTGAGAAATGCAATGAAACGTTGAATTTGACATCGATGAAGTGGATGATTGGATGTTGTTTAGAGATGACGGCGGCGATTTTAGGATCATATTTGTGTTCTATAGGAAGAATCGCCTTACTAATTGTTTACTGCTGCTATCTTCGTCTTTGCGATTGTTTCTCTTGTTATCACTACCACGACTGTTCTTGTTTCGAAGGAGTCCCAGCAACTGAAATTCAATTGATAATGCTTTGAATTGTGAGCAGTTTATTTGAAGATT